CACACACACACACACACACACACACACACACACACACACACACACACAATTGTGTAATTTATATGTATTATTTTCTTCATTTTAGCTTTTCAAAACACCAGGATTTGCAAAAACTTTCTATTCTTTTCTGATGATATTATTTTAAATATTGAATCAGATGTTATGATCAGTTAATCAAGTAGCCTCTTTACAAAACACTCTGTTCCTCGTACTTGAGTAATTTCTTGGACGGCTATGCTTTTACTTTTACTTAAGTAAAAATATGTTAAAGTAGTGAGTACAACTTTGGGTACTCTGCCCACCTCTACATTTACATTCTGCTACTTTTAGCTTTTAAATTTAGATTTTTGCAGCTTTCAGCATTTAATTAGCCTTTTATTTTTTTAGCTTTAAGTTAAACTTTTGATACTTTTAGCTTGTCTTTTGCTTCATTTAGCTTCTAGGTAGCACTTTGATACTTTTAGCTAGTCTTTATTTTGTTACACTGAATCATAAAGGACAGTTCATTTAAAATATGTTTACATTAATAATTTTATATTACGTAAAGCATATTAAAAATAGAACTTTAAAAGAAAAAACTTTAGGGATCAGGGTGGTGAGTTAATGGTGGGCCAGACGTAAGTCACTCGTGGGCCAGATGTGGCCTGCGAGTCACCAGTTGAATAGCCCTGCTTCAATTTTAACAACCCTACTCATCGTATTAAGTCAGCACTCAGGTATTCTCTGGTTCTCACTGGTTATTTTGAGTGTTGGTTATTTTTGGGAGAGAACTGTCCTCGTGGTGTCACTATACTCCACTCAGCAGCATCTTTACATCCTGAAGTTCAGATCTAAAGGCTGCAGCGAACAATAGTTTGGCACTTTCATGTTTAAAGGAACCCATCAGTAACACTTGTTTTATTCACAGTGCTGTGTGCCTATATAATGAAGACAAGGACTGATGGGGTCTTACTGCTGGTTTTGCAGCTGGAGGCGGTGTTGTTTCTGCTGCTGCAGGAGGTGGCGCTGCCGTCTTCTCTGCTTCTGCAGGTTTTCCCATCCAGCTGTTCACGCGTCCCGCCACACTCCCTTTAACCCCAACCACATCCTGGGAGGGAGGAGACTCGCTTTAAACGCACAGCTGTGAGAAATTTTTGTTTCTTTTAATCATTTTTTGCTCACCTTGTTTGCAGGAGCTGGACTTTCAGAAGTGCTGGGGAAGTTGCCTTTCTCCCACATGCTCTTGATGTTGCGTGTCCCTCCTGTAGGAATATCTGCTAAAGGTGATTTGGGGGATTTTACTTCTTTGTTTCCCTGTGAAACAAAAAAAACAAAAAACAAAAACGTGTATTTAGATTATTTTATGTGGAATTATAATTTGTCTGATTTGTCTAGTGGTCCTTTAACAGAAGAATCTAAAACAGTTGTCTTACTCTGAACCAGCAGCAGATGTTGAATCCAACAAAACACATCAGTTGTTTAATTATGTAACATCCTGAACAACTGATTCTCACCTGGATGGCAGAAGTGTACTGCTCTAATCTGTTGCCAACCTTGGCCACAATTGGAGTATGTGACACTCTGGCTGCGGAGCTGCATGGACAAAAAAATATGCTTTGAATATTTGGAAAATTACAATTATTAGTTCAATTAGTTACCTTTTAAAACTTTGTTCCACCCACCTCTTCTGGGCCGATTTGCTCAGAAATTCTGCCTTTTCTCCAATCTGCACACAAAAAATTTAAATTAGCAGAAGCTGTGATTGCAGGGAAACGAAGTTAAACTGAGTTGGCTTCAGATAAGCTGACTTGAGAGACAGAGTGACCGATCTGTCAGTGTCCTGTTGTTCTGAATTACACTTTGCATGTGATGGGGTCATGCAAAAGGCTTGTTTTGTAAAACACTTGTAGCTGTCATCAAGACCAGAAAAGAATGCACGCACCCAAGTTTTTATATTTTTACTTCCAAGGTGCACTTGGAACCCCTCTCTAGTTAGCTCAGTCATGATAGTTTGACTGAGTTTGGGCCATTTCTGTATTAGATTAATGTTGATCAGCTGTGGCAGCCGTCTTGAATTTCATTGATTCCAAAAGTTAATGAGTTTATAAATCAGTTGTTTTGTCATTTGAGTGAAAAAAAGGAGTTTGTAAAAAGGAGTTTGTTGTATTTTTGATGTAAATGTCACCTTGGAGGAGCCTTTGGGACTGATTGTAAAAGCAGGTTTTGTGGACACCTCCTCCTCCTTCTGCTTCTTCTTCTCTGCAGCCTCCGCCCTTCTTTTCTCGATCTCCTCCTTCATCCTTTTTCTTTCCTCCTATTAGGAAAAAACAAAACAAAACAAACAAACAAAAAAACAATTTGCTGTTAAGTGTTAAATGTTTCATCTGTGACAGGACTTCCTGAAGACGTGGTTAGTAGAGACCTGCTCTTTGGCCTTCTTCTCCTCTTGCTCCTTCTTCCTTTGCCTCTCCTCCTCCTCCAGGATCTTCCTCCTCTCCTCCCTCTTCCTCTTCAGCTCCTCCAGCTCCGCCTCGGCATCCTGCTGCTTCTGCTTCATCTTCTCGAACTCCTCGCTCTCCGTGTTGTTTCGCCGCTGCTTCAGCTCCTGCAGCTTCCGCTCAGCCTCCTGTTTCTCCACGTCGTCCGCTTTGGTGGACGGAACGTTGTCCCTGATCACAGACACACAAGGATTTCACTCACATTTGAAAACATTCTAGTGTTTTTATCCTCTGGTGCGAAAAAAAAAAGTTTTTGCTTGTATCTGCATTGTGTGTTCATATGATTGTTAGTGAAATAACTCAATTTTTTTCAACAAATTTTAATTTAATTTGCAGCAGATAATCATTAGGTGTAAATCTATAACTGATTAACGTTTAAAGACAACCTAATTCAAGTGGCTGCCACCTTAAAACTGTATGGAAAATGTTATGTTTTGTACCTGATTGTGTTATGTTTAGTCCTCAGTTTGAGACAAGTTTTATAAGAGTAAATATATTAATTTTAATCTGCATCACTCCAAACTGAATAAAAACACAAACACATTTCCACCTGTCTGTCTCTCACACAGCCCATGCACAAATAATCTGAAAAAGGAAATGTTTAGAGGGAGCCATGTTCTTGAATCAAACTGCTGCAACATAGTTACCTTGAAATCTTTTCTGTCTTCTTAAATTTATTTGTAATGAAAGCTCCGTTTTGTTTGGCTGGTTCACTCTGGCAAAACAATGAGAAAAACACATTTTATTCCTTGCCTAAAAAAAGAAGGCGCTAATGACCTGATGTTAGTTAGGCTTTACCTTCTCCTTGAAGCCAAATCTCTTCAGTTTCTCCTCCTTTAGAACAAAGAAAAAAACTGATCAGATACGACGAAATAAAAACCACAGTAAAAACAAGTCATCAAACTCAAGCTGAGCTTAAACAGATCAAAGCTGAGGATAAATCAGTTTGGTTTGGGTAAAGTCTAGTTTCTCTGCTCCATAAACACACTGATGCTGGGACTAAAACAAGGTTATAGTGTATTAACTTTGCTGCTGTCAAAGTAAAGTTTGTGATTTAACAAAAATATTTTTAGGACACACCTCCATCTATTCTTGAGAACATTTATTGACAGACATTTAAAGCTGACTAAAGACTAAATTTCTTAATATACATTTGTCAAACTCAAGGCCCATGGGCCAAATGTGGCCCGTGAGAGCTTCAAAGATGTATTAATGTAAAAAAACAAGCATATGGTGCTTAAACATTGACAATAAACTACATCTCCCAAATCTTTGGTGCCCACAAAATGATAACATCCCACCACTAGGTGGCGGTGTACAGGGTTCAAAAGTAGCTGTCAGTCGACAAAATTCACCACGTAAAATCTCAGTTTCATTGCATTTTTGACATCTACTTTTCCTACGGCCCAGTTGAGACGTGGGAATTTCCCACTTCAAAGTTTTAAATTTAAACTGGAACATCCCCTCTAGTAGGAATTCCCAGTTTAGAACTCAAGACGACAGCTACTTATCGCAACTCAACAGTGAGTAAAACTCTCTTATTTTTGCTTTTAATAGTATTTCTGCATTATTTATTCCACATGTAGTCAGCCATACACGTAGTACTTTTCTGTGTTTATAACAGGATGTGTTAAAGCATTGTTTCAATGCAGGAAATACCACGTAGAGCTCAGTTATTGTTTGTTAGCAGTGCTCTGCTGTAGCAATGAGTGGAGGAAAGTGATATTTAGTATTTAGTCAGTTATCTGACCCTTTGAGGCCACCAAAATGCTCCTGTGGCCCTCAGTGAAACTGAGTTTGACACCCCAGTTTTAGGAAGATGATATTCCTGGGTAACAAATTTTGTTTAACTTCTTAATGTCATTGAAGTCGACAAATAATTTTGTACCTTGTTCTCAAATAAAATAAAGTTAATAATTATTCAGAGTTAACAGAAACTCCTCGTCTCTATTTTAGTGAGAAGAAACTTCAAACAGCTTTTTATTTTTTTGAGCTGAGGGAGAAAATTCATGATCACATGAGCACCTCGTCTTTCTTCTTTTTCTCTTCAGCATCTCTCTTTTTATGCTTCTCCTCCTCCTCCTTTTTCTTCTTCTCTTCCATCTCTCTTTTCCGCCTTTCCTCTTGTTTCTTCTTCTCTTCCATCTCCTTTTTCTGCTTCTCCTCTTCTTTTTTCTTCTCCTCCGCCTCTCTTTTCCTCTTCTCCTCCTCCTCTTTGTTCTTCTTCTCCTCCTGCTCTTTCTTCCTGAGCTTCTCCTCCTCCTCTTTTTTCTTCTTCTCCTGCTCTTTCTTCCTTAGCTTCTCTTCCTCCTCCTTTTTCTTCCTCTCTTCCGTTTCCTTTTTTCGTTTTTCCTCCTCTTCTTTCCTCCTCTTGTCCTCCATCTCTCGTTTTTGTTCTTCTTCTTCTTCTTTCTTCCGCTTTTCCTCTTCCTCTCTTCTTTGTTTTTCCTCCTCCTCCCTTTTCAGGTTCTCTTCCATTTTCCTGTTTCGTTCTTCTTCCTCCTCCCTCCTCTGCCTCTCCTCCATCTCCCTTTTCTGCCTTTCCTCTTCTTCTCTTTCTGCCATCTCTTTTCTTTGTCTTTCTTCTTCCTCTCTTTTCAGCCTATCTTCAGTTTCTCTTTGTTCTTCTTCCTTCCTCTTCCTCTCCTCCTCTTCTTTTAACCGCATTTCTTCTGCCTCCCTTTCCATTTCTGTTTTTTGCTTTTCTTCCTCTTCTAACCGTAACTTTTCTTCCTTTTCTTTTTGCTGTCTTTCTTCATCCTCTCTTCTCTTTCTTTCTTCTTCTTCGTGGTCTTCATCGGGAGCAGCTTCCTTGTCATCCTCCTCCTGTTCCAAAGTTTTCTCAGCCTCCACCTCCGCTGTTGTTGTCGTCTTCTCAACGATTTCCTGGTAAATTAAATCAAAAATACTTTATCGTAATTTTATTGATGCCTTTTTTTAATGTAATTAGTGAAAAGTGAAGCCAGATTACCTCATTTATCATGACCACAGTCGAAGATTTTTCTGACTCCTGTTGAAAAGGAAAGACTTTGAATTATAAAAGCTTTCATGTCTAATGAGTATGAAACCAGCATTTAATTCAGTTAAGTTTATTTAGCCTATAGAGCCCCAATTCACAACAAAATTCATCTCAGGTAACAATGATCAAACAAAAAACAGATGTGTTGAATTTAATTAAACAAATGATGTCAACAGGTTCCACTCAGTTGAGTTTAGTAAATATAAAGCAATTTTTACATTTACTGTACTTTATGTAATGTGAACTAAACGTGAAACATTTACTAAATTCTGTTGAGTGGAACTTGTTGACATCATTTGTTTGAGTAAATCCAACACATCTTTTTTTGAGTTCAATCAGATCCTGAATACTCAGTTTTTAGGGATTTGAGGTCAACATGTTGATTTAACATGAAGAACGTCTTAAACCTAAAAGTAGACAGAGTGTCAGCCACTCGAACAGAAACTCATGGTTCCACAAGAGAGGAGTGAAAGCTCTGACTTTTACTTTTAGAAACTCTAGGAACCACAAGTAAACCTGCAGTCTGAGAGTGCAGTACTCTGTTACACGAAAAAACAGATTTGTTGTATTTACCTAACCAAGTTAGGTCAAGTGGATCCTCAACTGAGTTGAGTAAAGAGATTTACACAAGTACAAATCTGTACAATGTACTGTATAAATCTGTTTGCATTTACTCAACTTGATTTGTTGGAACCACTAACTTGGTTAGGTAAATACAAAAAATCATTTTATAGGAAAATATGGAACAATAAGATCTTTAACATAAGAGGGAGCTCAGTTGTTGAGAGTTTTATCAGGTTTTACAGTAAATCTATTCTGCTGAAAGCTGAAACTGCAGAAATACAATCATCAGCATCATTTTGAATACACTGAAAACAAAACCCAACATGTTCACCTTCTCATCCTCCTTTTTTTCATCTTCTTCTTTCCTCCAGGAGTTTGTGTCAGTGTCTTCAACCTCCTCCTGAGCAGGCTTCTCCTCCTCCTCCTCCTCCTCTTCAGTTTCCCGCTGAATGCTGCTGCTGATGGAGGGCTGCTCCTCGTGTGGGCTGTCAGCGCCGTTGCTGGAGTTGACAGCGGGCTCCGTTTCCTTCTGTCGCTCCATCGCCTCCTTCATTCTCCTCTGCCGGCGCTCCTCCCTCTTGGCCAGACGTTCGAGCAAAGCCTGGTCGTCGTCCGCTCCCCCAGCAGAAGTGGCGGAGGAGTCGGCCTCGGTCACGCTGAAAGAGCATCAAATCAATCATGATGTGGTTCTTAAAACTTTAAATCAACCCTGCAACGTCTTCATTCCTATCTGATGTGTGATTGAGTGGAAGATAAACCCTACAGTTCCTGGAAACTTTCATCAGCATTAAACTTCTAAAAAATCTTTCTTTTCATTTCAAAAAACATCTTTGTATACACATCAGCCCAGCCAGACAGATTAATTCGGCTGATTTGCATCCTCTCTTGCACTTTCAGCATCACATACGTACTTGTTGGTACTGATCACATCAGTTGTCCCAGACTCCTCCAAGTCTCTCATTTTCTTCCTCTCCTCCCTTGCACGTCTCCGTCGCTCTCGAACTTCTTCTTCATCATCATCATTGGGGGAACCAAGCCTGAAACGGCACACATGGTCCAGATTTATGCTGACAGCATGTCCATGAAAACTGATTTTAGATTTCTCTCTCTGATCAGGCTTTTATACGAGACAGACCTGTGGTTCCAGGATGTCTCAGAACAAGTACTATTATGACAGACATTAAAGACCAGGATTAAATTATTGACTTTTAATGCTTCAAACAGACCTTTTTAGTTGGACATCAAACACTAACCTGCAACCAAACCTGCTTGTTTACCCTAACTTTAACTCTTTCAACAAATGTACAAATGGCTAGAGGACACACTGAGGTCTGATCCGTCCCAGCTAAAGCAATGTTGGGTGACGGTGTCTAAAGGCCTCTGAATGGTTCATCTGAACCTGCAACACCTGCTGTCATTGTCGCAGTTGCGTGACGAAAATTATGCCATTTTGTTCTTGGCTTTGTGTCACTGCTTTTTGTAACAACACCCCTGGGGAGAACACTTTGCACCCCCTCTACAACCAGAATTATTGTGCGATTAGTCAGATGTTTGTTTATGCTGCAAAACTTTCAGACAGCAATGGTGGTATTTTACGTCAACTATTCAGCTTCAAACAACGTGGATAGTTCTGAGGCGCAGTCAGAAAGTCTGATCATCTATGGCTCTTAAAAATACCTTTTTTAAAAAGAGTCACACGGCCAAAGGCTCTTGGATGGAGGGAGTGTAAACACTGGGCCTCATGCAAGAACATGTTCGTATTCTTATCCTAAATTTCTCTTACTTTTTGTTCGTACAAAGGGTTCGTACAAACATGCCACGTCTCATTCAACAAACTCTTCTATCTTCAGGAAAAGTGTGTAAATGAGCTGCGTAAATTACACCTGTTCGTATCCAGCTGCTCGTGCACGCGAGAGGAGATTAGCATAAT